TTGGTTTGAGAACGTGAAGAATGTAAATGGGTTTATTAAGTAAGTGTCACAGAAGAATATGGAGGGAATGACAAAGAGAAAAGTTTTGAGCTTTTGATGGTTGAAGAAAGCATTAAATGTAACGCGGTGATAATGGTTATGTGTTGATATGTAAATTAACTGTATAAGTATGGACACTGAGACACAAAGAGTGAAGGAGAGTTAATACAATACTCTGCTTTTTGTCTCTGTTTCTTAATTACAGTACTCAGACCAACTTGCATGTAATGTGATAATATTTCTGTTATTATAGTTAAGAAGAGAACCATACGTTCGAATTAATTGCATCCATGGTTGGATTGTTGATTCGGTTATTTAAAAGATTAGAGGTTTGAAACCGAGATTGCGATTGGGACAACGACTATGTCACTCTTTACCTTGTTTAGCTTGTTTTGTTAGTGTGCCAAGAGATGAGACAATGGTTATGGTTTTGTGATAGATGGAAGAATGTAAACATAATCATGAAATGTGAGGGCCACTTGCATTTTGGTCATGTTTCCTGTGTCCTTGGATTATAGAAAGGTGAAGAATGATGTTGAGGTATGGATGTATGGATTAATGGAGGTAGATGGAAGTAACATTAAATGGGAAGAGGAAGGAGACACCAAGTTATGATGATGATCATCATGAATGACATAATGTGGTAGTTGAAAGTTCATAAATTCTTTAACTTTGTTCATGCTTCTTCTTCATTGATAAGTAAAAAAAAATCACTTTTGGGGGCCAAATTGTGAAGCAATTGTTCAAAAAGATTCGATCTTTCTGTTATAAGCAGCCACCAAAAGCATAAATAAGCCGAATTTAGAATAGGGTTGATAAGTAATGAGAATCTAGAGTGGACCAAATTGTTGTTATAATGTGACTCATAAATTTGAAGCATGATCTTGTGGGGTTTTATGACAGAGCAATTTAGTTAAAGCAGACATGCTGTATTCCTTATCAAAATAAAGAAACCTTTCAAATT